CAGGTGGAAAAGGGTCTAACACGCTTGTTTTATGGTACTGTATGTGAAGGCTTGTCTGTTTCATGATGATGTGTGTGTGTGTGTTCATGTGCTTTGTGTGTGGAGAGCCCCCACAGGGGTTGTGCATGAGTGCTTGAGGCCTGTTGTAACATAAAAGAGAATGAACACACAGGGGGGGGCGGGCGAGAAGGGTCAGGTGGGGCTGAGTCTAACACTGCCTCTGTGACCTCTGACCTCACACAAAGCTCTGACGCGGAGGAGTCAAGTAGCTGCCACCAGTCAAAGAGACAAGTTAACTGAGAGATCAAGTCAAAAGCCCAGTGACTACATGGGAAATCTGTGTGCCTTCATGTCCACTTGAAGCTTTTCTTTTTCTTTTGCTACCTCAAAATACTTTGGTGAAATTGTATCGATGCATAACTCCACAGTGTAAGAAAAGGAATACATTATTTCATTACAATGGATAATCTGAAATGCATGGCCTATATCGTATCCAGCCCCTCTGAAGCAACACTTTACAGTACTATTCTCATTGCAGCATCTAGAGCCTGAACCTTTTTTTTTTACATTTCCTCTTTGCAAAAAGCTTAACCTCAGTAGGACTAGGCAACCTCAGACACCAATTTTCAAGCAGCACATTCCCAATTTTAGTCTGTACTTTAACTAGGCCATTTTAACACCTAAGAATGTTTTGACGTAAACTATTGCATTGTAGCTGACCTGTAGGAAGAGGAACCTCCTCTTCAGTCTCAAATGTTTTTCAGCCTCTAAAGCTTCACGTTTATTAGCCTGCATATGGCTTAATCAATCTTCCTCTCATCTAATATGTGTCCATCCTGACCTGTACGCTGTGTTCCTGTGTCTTCATGATTCCAATGTTCTTCTACAAACCTCCACGAATGGACTCTACTAACTAGGCAATATCTGAGGTGGATGGTCTCACTTTTTGGGGTTTTCAGGTAAAAGGGGCTAAATGCATATGAATACCACACATTTGATTTGTTTTGTTTTTATATAAGAGACACATAGATCTCTTTTTTTCTTTTTCTTATGCACAACTTTACATATAAAGTCTGTTGTAATATGATGAAATATATTACAATTTCGCAGTGATGGCTTTGAAAGCAAGCATTAAAGATAAAAAAAAATCATAAAACTCTCACCAATAATAGCTAAATGCGCATCTTTTAAGTGTCCGATTTTTCTGTTGTATCACTGTTTCTTTGCTCCAACACATCCTCACTTTCAGCCTGTTCTTGTATTCATAATTTTGTGTCATTCACGGATTTGTGAATCGACCAAACACCCTTGCAGTGAACAACCCTGCAATTCTCAAGAAGGACATTTCAGAGTTCTGCTTTATCTAAGCAGAATAAAATCAGCATAGCATTGTGAATCACTGTCATCGCCCTCATCCAAGGAGCACCGCTGCCTGCGCATACACCCCAATCCGTTTGTCTGCTTATTCAGATGCAAGGCCGCGGCCTGGGAGGGTGCAACATTATGGCTCATCTGTGGTTTAGCCTCATCTCTTGAGCTCAAACTGAGTTTTTCCTCACCCTCCTCGTTTTTCACTATGTCATCTAACTTATTTTTACTCAATTTTCTCCTCTTACACTTCTTATTTAAACATTTGCCATTTTTCAACTCAAACTCCTCCCCCTGGGTTCCTTTGCCTCAGCCTATGCCCAACATCTGTCCCATCCCCCTTTTGGGTATGTCTCCGGAGGAATGGCAGGTTAAAAAGTCATTCCCATCCCGGTATGCTCCTTTTCTCTCTTTATTTCCATCATTTGTCCATTGTCTCTGCCTTTACAGGGAGGTAAAGCTGGCTTTATTCAAAAGCAAACATGGCAAAGCAGATTTGGAAAAGCGTTACTGGGAAATTGAGGTTCAGGATATCTGAAATTAAGTTCTGGGATCATTATTTGGTAACAGAAGCTGAAGCTAGCAGCTATTCCAACACTTGCTAACACCTCCAGTAAGATTGCATGGGCCAAATGGTCAAGCAGAAGTCAAAGATGATTTACATGGGAAAATATATTTTAGAGGGGATGCATTATCAATGACATGTGAACTACATTCAGACCAGGGGCCCGTTTCTAGAAGTAGGTTTAAAAAAAAAACTCAGATTCAAATCTGCAACTCTAAATTGAGAGAATGTTACTACGGTGACTGAAACAGATGTTGAGGAAACTCTCTTTGTGAAACGGAAAAACTCTGAGTTTTCTATATTTCAGGTTTAGAAAAGTTTTCAGTAAACCTACTTTGTGAAATGGACCCAGAACATATCTGGTAAAAAAAAAGAAAACAACTAAAGACAAATAAAAAAAAAATCATTGTAAGAGTTTAAAATGAACTTAAATGTAAAGTTTTTCATAGATATTTTGTCTGATTGGAAAATATTTTAGGCTTTTTGTCGTCTGTTTCATGCAGGTACTGGAGACATACAGCAGGGTACTATTATCAAGCAAGTTCATTTAGTGTCTGAATACGTCAAACAGGAAGAATTACATCCATTTAGCTCTACAGAAACGTCTGCCTTCTATTTCTCCTCAAATTAGCTAAAAAGCTCATTATGATCTTAAAGCCATGCTTATTGCCTGTAGAATATAGTTGAACTAAATAATTGGGAGAATTAATCATTTAAATAAACTGATCCAGGTGACCCTATATCTGTTGCTGAGTTTTTATAAGTTCCTTTCTTTACTTAGTTGGAGAGAATTTTGTACATTTTTCAGTAGAAGTTAATTGTTCCATAAGGAATGGAAAAATAACTGGTCCTGATTTCTGTGTTTATGTAGCCACACTTCAGGAGTGACTTTGGGATTACCTTGAAGTTCAGGGTTTCTCAAACTTTTCTAGCTGGGCCCCTTTTGGTTTGCAAAGAATACCCTAAATTACATTTACAGCAATTGAAAAAAGGAAAAATGCAGTGAATTAAATATTGTAATAAAATAAACAAATACCTCCTTAAAATTCCAGAACTGCCAGCTTTAAAGTGTCATTATTTTAATTGTATTTATTTTACCGTGTAACAGAATTTAACATCGCCAACAATACAGTAAAAAAAAAATAACACTATCAAATACTCCAGGGTATCTTCCCTGCAAGAAATTCATTTGTTATTTCTATAAGACTTGTAAGAAGAGAGAAGCCCGAAGGGCTCTAAACTTCCCCATCAGACAGTTGCATTGACTGTGGACTTGATAAAACACATGCACCACAACAAGCAGAGGACAGGACACCTCACATCATCTCTTACCTCAAGAAACTTGGATTCTGTGAATCTCCACTTCTCCCCGTACTCTGGGACCATGATTTCCAAATGACATGTTAAGTTTATTTTTAGAGCACTAAGCAACAGTCAAGTCCCCTTTTCCTCCCCAGACCACATAAGTTGACGTCTCCGAGTGGCTCATACAAGGAAGAAGACAGTTCCAGTCCTGCACCATCAGTGCATGGTGCCTTTTGAACCTATGACGCCACTTTTTGTGTATCTCCCTTAAACTCTCAAACATATTCATATTGCTTTAGTATTTTCTCACCCGTAGACAGCTGGAAATAGGCACCAGCACCCCTCACGCCCCAGTAGTGATAAAGTGTGACAGAAAATGCATGGATGAATAATAGTGTTTCCTTTTTTCCTTCCACTCAACTTTCCATAAATATGCTTGAGAACCTCACGTTGGAGAGGAGCCATTTCAGTAAGTCATAATCATCAGCATTGCTTGAAATAAGTGCTTGGAATATGACACTATGAGTGTAGTAACTTTATGTATTTTTCTTATAGATAAATCAACCTTTTAATGGTTTAACTCTTGCAGAAAACCTGCATAAAATATGTGCAAGCAGGTTCATATCCACATATGCACATGACTTCGCCAACTACTGTGCCATTATACCATTTGGTTAAACTATTGAGGTTCTTAATCGCCAACAAACAGGGGGACAATGAGGCAGCTGTTGCATGCCGGGAAAATAGAGCAGGCGGTTTGGACTGAGCTTACAGCCCTCTGACAGAAGCAACTTAAAAACTGAGCCCGCTCCGGATGCTCCCTCCATGCGTCCCCCTTTCTTCCACATGAGCGCAGATGAAACGCAGACGGCGCCACGGCTTCTCTCCCCCCATCTCCCCCCTGACTCCGCACTCCATCCGCTACCAACCGCGCAGCAGCCAAGCCATATGGGACAGAAAGAGACGCAGTCAGTCACTCCAAGTGATGAAGTGATGATGTTTGCCAAGATGGGAGGATTTCAGGCGCGCCTTTGCAAACATAATAAAATACAATTCTGCAATCAGCCACTGTAAATGAAGCACATGCATGTGATTTAGCAAATAAAGGAATAAAGAGGTGTAATTCTCTTCTCTCTTAGTATGGTTGCACTTCTCCGTGCACCTTGCTCTCTCCTTCTGTCTCCCCCTCTCACTTCTTCCACCGGCCCCGGAATCGATCTCCGCAGGATCAATAAGTTGGCATGAATATTCCCTGCCTGCCGAGAGTCTAGTTGGGGAGAGTCGGAGGCTCAGGCTCAGGCGCAGGCAGCGGAGGAGAGGGGAAGGACGGAGAGCGGAGGCTGGAGCCCAGAAAACCCGGAGAAAGGAGCGCATAGAGGCGGAGAGGAAACCGCACCACGGACGCTGGGGGGGGTGTATGAAACAGCGGCGCATCGGACCGGACAGCAAAAAGGAGGATTTTTATCAAACAAAAGATGCACAGGAATCTGGCTTTAAAGAAAGAGGAGACCGGGGGAAGTGCGTGTGTAAAGTGGGTGTGCGCGCGCCGACGGCTCCACCAGCTCTGCAAGCGCATCGGGGCGGGTCTGCAAGGCTGGCCGACATGGAGGATGTGTATAACACACGGAGGATAAGAAGAAGGATATAAACAATAATAAATATATATATATATATATATATATATATATATATATATATATATATATATATATATATATATATATATATCAACGTAAATAAAAAATTAAAAAAACTGTCTTACCGGAGTTGGAGCGGAGAGCCAGAGGGGACTTGAGACGCCAGGCGCTGAGGTCAGGGGTAGCTCTCTGAAAGACGAACGGCACCGGCAAGGGAACAAACATGATCTTCTTCCTCCTGCCTTTCCTTTGGATGCAAATAATCTGACACAAGCTGGTTGACAAGCCTTGTCCTCCTCAGATGCTTCTGGCTCTTTTCTGACAGACAGCTTTGGGGCAATATTTGGTTTGTAGAGCTCACAACATTCGCCGTTAGGTGTGTGCACATGTAGCCTCAGTTGCGCACTTTTTATGTACACGTGTGATGCATTAGAGTTTTGCTGTACCCTAAATGTGCATAGAGCATATTTATATTTCTACTCATAGAAACATAGGATGGTCCCTTGAGTAAGCAACACGCAGACGGATGATAGAGGAGCTTCAAGAAAAGTTCTGCTAGAAATAAAGCTTAGAATAAACACTGATGCGCTTCTTCCCTCTACCTTCTCATTGTTAAAGCTTTCTCCTTTAGTAAACATATAGTTTATTTTATACTCTTATTTCTCTGCAGATTCTGTAGGAATGCATGAGAACAGTCGCTGAGCCTATTCTTATGGAGTCCCCTCTTTGGTATTCGCTTTTGCAGCTTAAAACCACCCCAGGATATTAGATAAAGACTGCTAGAAAAAAAGCTAAATTATCCAGATGTGTGCATTTTAAATGGAGGCTCTAGTATAGCCTATATATCTGCTGTTCAGCTGCTCATTAGTCGTCTACATTCATCCAGTACGCACAACGCATCGGATCGTGCATTCAACACAACTTGGTTCTTAAATCTAATAACAAATAAATGAATACAAGTTGTAAATAAAATGGGGAAACATACAAACAAACAGTCAGAGAAGACGGCAGCGAGCGCGCATGGCACCGACGCTCCTCCTCCTTCGCTCTCTGTCACAAGCCAGTAATTAAAACGCAATCAATCGATGGATAAATAAATAAACATCTAAATAAATAAACGTTCAAATCGGACAGCTTCAATGAATAAAAGAAATAAATAATGGGAAAAAATTATGATAAAATAAACACAAGACGGCGTCGCTATACTAATATCCGATGGTGCCGCGTCTTATCGGAACACTTGCCTATATCTCCGTCCATCCGTCTGTGTGTCTCTGTTTTTTTGTTTTTGTTTTTAAGTCTCTCTTTCTCTATTTCTTTCAAATTTGTGTCTGTTTCTTTTTGTCCCCCTCCTGTAATAATATGGGAACCCCCAGATAGCTCACTCGACCCGGCTCCCCTCCAGGATTGTAGCGATCTGCCACCAGGCTGGCCGCAACATTCAGGCGCTACAACTCACACATCACCACCCCCATCCCTCCCTCCCTCCTTCAATCCCTCCCTCCTCCTCCCTTCCACCTCTCTCTCGTTTTCACTACCGCTGCAAAAGGTATCCTGTATTGATTTTTGTGCACCGCCACCATCACCCCCCCTCCTCCTCCTCTTAATAATACCGACTATAATGATGCCAGCGGTGATCAGTGCATTACTGTTTGGACTCCTTGGGAAGGGATAAAAGTCCCAATAAGAAGCACCTGCACAGCTAATATCTGTCAGGATATATGGCTTGCTCATAATGAATTTATGGCATCACTGTTGTCCAGAACCGACCCAAAGCACCATCAAACTAAGGCTGCTGCAGCCAATAGAGGGCCTACCAAAACACTTGACTTCTGATGAATGAAAATGTTGGGAGTCACAACCTGCTGCTGGTCATTTTCACCATTTTGCTGTTACCCAGGGAAGCATTAAAAGGTGGTAGGGGCAGTGGAGTGGGGGGAGGCATGAGTTTAAGATTAAAATAAATAGCTTATATTTCAACTGCATCATGTTCAGATATACTTGGACCCCAATTACAGGAATAAATGAAGTCAGTGAGTCTGAATTGAGACGTTTAATATAACAATAAAAACATCCAGTTCCTCTCTGTCACTTCTCTATAATAATGAAATGCAACAGGAATAGTAACTGAAGAATCCAACAGAGAGAAATGAGAAGATAGGAGATTATTTCTTAGAGAATGTAGGAGGAATGGCAGGGAAATCAGAAGAGCTAATCTCATGGAATGAGGAGCAGCTGTGAGAGAGAAGGAGGGTGCATGGAGGGAGACTAATTAACAGAAACACTGATTCTAGGAGCCCACTGGAAATATTTAAGAAGAAGTAAGAGAAACAACTCTTAATTAGTAAGAACATAAAAACTAAGAAGTTAAACATGACAAGGATGTACCTAAAAACTATGAGCACAAATAAATGAACAGCAAAATCAAACAACAGAATGTAGCCAGCTGTTTTCAAGCCTATAAAAAAGGAAATTCTGAAAAAAAAAAAAAAATAGATTTTTAATGTGCAGTCAATAGGGAGATGGCATTCATGTCCTCTGCTTGTCACTTTTATGATAATTTGTCACCATAAGTGAATTTAAGAAAAGTTTAAGAACAAGGCAACTGAACTTCAGTTCTCCAGCTGAAGACTTTTACACATTTCGAAAGATCTTCACCAACAGTCACCAAGTCTAGTTTCCTTGTATTTAAACATCCTTTGGTTCTACCATGTCCTGAATGACAGGATTTATAGCAGAACATCAAATACCTAACTACAAAAACAATAGACTGTTGTAATTCATCATATTACATTAATTCGTAATATGTTGGTATAATTAAAGAAACAAATGAATGTGTTTTTTTTAGCTTAACTCTTTATTAAGCAGAGATAACTTTTTATATGGCAAATTTAGACATAAATTTAGCTGCTCAGTTTTAGTATTCCCTAAAATACGTATATATTGTGATGCTTCCAAGCACCAGAGGGCAACAAATGGCTTCCAATCAGATCCCTGCTAGTATTCAATGTGGGTCAAAAGGCACTAGTGTTACAGTTCATGGGTTTGAATTGTTTTATTCATGAAATCAATTTAATGAGAAAAGGACAAAATGGTAAAGGATTGGTATGAAATGGGGTTATGAAACATGACTGGTTAATGAACTATCACCGTGTAGGCTTAAGGATTGTTCTGATTAAACATTAATAACAAAATGTACTTTTCGTTCTCAGAGGATGGGTATAATAGTTCTTTTGGGTCTTGGTTTCAAACTGTGCGGTAATGTACTCTAATATTGGTCTGAAATTTAAACACATGCAGCTACAAAAAGGTCAATGTTGCATTCACAGAAAATAGAGAGAAGCAGAGGGAAATAATATTGCAAATACGAAATCAGATGAAAACACACAAATCATGCTAACACTCAAACAAGAAATATGATATATACAAATGTTGCAAGTACCGGTAGTAAAAATATCTTCATTGGAAGAAAAGCTGCAAACTGGCTCTGAATAACTGAAGTGCTCCAGACCACTAGGGGGAGATGTCACAAACTCAAATGGGGCTAGACTTTTGGCATAAAGGGAATACTCAGAAAGACTGTGTAAAAAAAATTAAAGTGAAAAAGAACCTTTTTATTCCTCTCTCCAACTTCCCGTTTATCATTTTGCTTATTGACTGGTCATTGATTTACAGGGTAATGTCTATCAGTTGTAGGGGTTGATGATCGTCTCCCCTTAATGGTGGTTTACAACTCTTCCAACTTTCCTAAGCCAATTCCCTGCTTGCAGCATTTTCCCCTTGCATAGGTTTAGTGTGTTTGACTAGCATCCTTTTTGTGTTTGCAGCACATCTCCACTTTGATGCTCTCTATTTTCTCTGAATACCACATTTCCCATTGCACTATTTTCCTTTGTATTTCTTGTGTGTGTTTGTGTATTTTTATTTTATTTGAAAGTCTAACTTTTATCTTACATACTCTTCTTTGTAGTAATTGTGTTTGCTGCATACTTGCATATTCGCAGCGCATTCGCACCTCTTTTGGCTCCTGTACATCAAATAAAAAATTCAAATCACACTTTGAAACCATCAATATGTTCTTTATCTCTGCTGATTAATACAGTAAAAGCATTAAAAAGACTGGTGTTTTCTCTGGATGCCTCGAACATAGAGTAACCATGCGCTGCCCCTCCTCCACCTGTTACTATGTAACGTTTGTCAACTGGCTGATACTATTTTACTCTATTCTTTTTGAAAAAAAAGGAAGACATACAGTAACTCATTCAAATAATTTACAGTAGTGGTATTTAAACAAAACAACAGCCACTCATCACTGTAATGCTGTTTTAAAACTATAGTTGGACTATTTGAAACAAATTTTTATTCGGGTATAAAAAATGTCCAGGAATTTAAATCTGCTTAAACCTCAGCTAAATGCATGCACCCCGATTTGTTAACATTTTTGGCAAGGCTACAGGGGTTGATAGCCTTACTAATTAACAATCTATGATCAGCTTATATTGCATTTTTTTTAACACATCAAAAAAGTTTTAACACGGAAAATTACTAACTGCTAAATATAGCCGGTGTTTATTTTGTAAATATCCTAACTAAATAAAAAAAACTATTTGAATGTCAAAGATAATGTTTTTTTATAGAACACAGATAATAATTGACATGTTGCAGTAATTTCCCAATATTTTATATTATTATTATTATTTTAAGCACAAGTAAATAAACACATTACAGTAAATTTATCAATTTTTTTTATTTATGCTTACATGATTGCACATTTACCTGAAAGTGTGAGAAAGTGATATTTTCACTCAAGGTTATAATGAATCCATATATCCTACAACAAAGTTTGTCGAACTTAAAATTTGAAAGGATTTTAAATTCCTAAATCTACACTGCAAAAACAATCCAGAAATAAGTAAAAAATGGCTTAAATTAAGTATATTTAGCCTTAATTTGAGCAGGTAAATAAGATGATTTGCCAATGGAATGAGTATTTTCACTCTTAAAATAAGATAGTTAGATAATATTTACTTGAAATAAGACGATAAAATATTTTTTTCTTATTTTAAAAGGAAATTGTCTTGTTCCATTGGCAAAGTGTCTTACTTATCTCCTCAAATCAAGGAAAAACACACTTATTTTAAGAAAAAATAACTTATTGAGATTTATATTTTTTGCAGTGTAGCTTTATTTAAAAGTGGATATAACAGAAATTTTTAGTTGCAATTATAAAGAGACAAATTAATAATCTGAGTGAACAGCCAGAGTTTAATCTTATTGGATTATTTATACTGCTTTGCAGTCACATTCCCTGCATACCATTGCTGCAACTTATCAATGAATAAATGAAATATTTCTATGTGCGATTGTAACCAAAGATGATAAAAAGACCTCCCTTTTACTTACTTGACTAAATATGCATTAAAAAGCTGTTTTGTCCAGAGATGAGTCATCAAGTAAGCCAGAAAAAAGTCTAATCAATGTATTTACATCTATTCAGAGACTGAATCATACTAAGTGAATGGGTGTTGGTCATTTAGCTAATACTCAGTTTATTTTTGCTTTCAGTTGCTTGAATTTTTAAACAATTCATTATTATTCACCATTATTCTTAGCATTAAAAAAATCATCACTTGATATTTTCTATTAAGATTGATGCTGAGGCATCTGTTCAAGTACCAACATAAATGGTTTGTGATTGTAAAAAAATATGTACACTAAATGTTTAGATGAGATTTGAGCAGGTTTAATGCTATTTATCTCTATCATTAAAGGAAATTCATTAATCAAAGATACACAGCATGCAAATGTGTAAATTGGCTACATTGGTAGGAAGTGGTTCATTCACAGCATGCAATGGATTAAACGATAACACATGGTCACAAAACGGTTTGCAAACTTGATTGACTGATAAAAAAAATGAGGTGCAAGTAAAGTATACTGTGCAATATAGTCATTTTAATTGTTTGCCTGTTTGTAAACAATGCATCTGGAGGGATTAAATCAAAACACACCAATAATCCAATTTATTATGGTGCTTTCTATTTATACTTTGAAGTTATATTTCCCAGTTGGAAATATAAAAAGAGCATCAAATGAAGTCTGAATGGCAGGTCATGCCTTTCAGAGCATATAACATGTAGTAAAAGCTGCTTCTTTAAATCATTTTTAAGAACGTTACTTTCTGAATGCATAAAATGGAAATATATAACTTATCAAGTTTGCAGACCTCTTGCTGGTCTTTTTGTTCTACAACTAGAACCTGTTCCTTTCAGGGGTTACGTCATTCTGAGCTCTGACTTCAGAGACGATTGGTAGGGGACGGTTGTGGTCCTGTTTGTGGTTCTGATGTGTTAGATGGAGAAGTGGTCCTGAAAGAAATTTTGCTCAGAATAGCAAACAATCTTGGCCTGCCTTGCTCTTGGCCACATTAAATCCTCCTAAAAGGATGAGGTTGGG